TGGAGTGTACCAGGTGAACTGTGAACAGCCACCACCAGATGTCAGCCTCACCTGCCAACAGCAGCAGAGAAAGAAGGACATCAGCGCCACCATATGGCACAAGTGGTTTGCACACAGGGACTTTGATGCAATTTTTAAAATGAAGAAGGAAAATATGGTAAGTGACCTTGAACTAAGCAATCATGAAAAATACCAGTCAAAGTGTGTAGTGTGCATCACAGGAAAGGCAACAAGGCCTGCCATACCTAAACGAAGGGAAAGGCATGCAACTAAACCACTTGAACTTATCCACACTGACTTATGTGGACCTCTTCAAGCATCAGCAGGTGAAAACAAATACGTAATATGTTTTATAGATGATTTTTCCAGGTATTGTGTAACCTACCTGATGAAGGAAAAATCCCAAACTCGGGATATGCTGAAGACATACGTTGCTATGGTAAGGAATAAATTCAATTGGACCCCTCAAGCCCTTCAAAGCAACAGAGGTGGTGAGTTCATTTCTAACACCATGCAGACATACCTAATACAACTAGGCATAGAGCACAGATTAACCACTCCTGACATGCCAGAGAGTAATGGAGTCGCAGAACGAAAGAACAGATCATTGATGGACATGGTAAGGCGTATGCAGTTAAAGGCAGATCTACCTGACAAATACTGGGCAGCTTCTATTATCACAGCTACATACTTGCAAAATAGATTGTCAGCCAGAACCAATAAGGTAACACCTTTTGAGCTTTGGCATGGGTGAAAACCAAGTGTCAAACATTTAAGAGTGTTTGGATCTAAGGCCTATGCTGATGTACCAAAAGAAAGGAGATCCAAACTGGACCCTAGAGCTGAAGAAGGGGTCATGATTGGCTACACTCCAGGAAGCAAGGGATACAGAATCCTGAACCCAAAGATGGGAAGAGTAAGCATATGCAGAGTGGTATACTTTGATGAGAGGGAGAGAGGCTGCTGCACTCAGGTGGATAATGACTGAGGAGAAACCAGCAGCAGCTACCAGCCTGAGATGTTCAGCCTGACACCAGAAGACACAACCACACCAAACCAGAGGGAGATGGAAGTCCAGGAAGAGACTCCACCAGAGACAGATGATGAGGCCAAGGATGCAGAAGAGGGTGAACCACCAGTCGTCGCTCCTGAACCTGCTCTGAGATGCTCATCACGGCCCAACAAAGGAGTTCCAGCTGACAGACTTACCTACCTCGCAAGGTCATCGCTACCAAGCGAACCCACATCATGGAATGAGGTGCTGCAAATGCCAGCAGATGAGGCAAATAAGTGGAAAAGGGCAGCACAGGAGGAGCTAGATGCTCCGTACAAAAACAAAACATGGACTTTAACTAAACTACCAAAAGGTGGGTGTTCAAGGCAAAACAAGACAAGAATGGCGAAGTACAAAGGTACAAGGCCAGATTGGTAGCAAAAGGCTGCTCACAGAAATATGGACAGGACT